CGGCCGCCGGGACGCTGAGGGCTCGCCCTGACGGACTGGCCGAGCGGGTGGCGAGAGGCCGGCGCGTTGGGAGCGGGCCGCGCGGCACCATGTCTGCCAAGGTGCGGCTCAAGAAGCTGGAGCAGCTGCTCCTGGACGGGCCCTGGCGCAACGAGAGCGCCCTGAGCGTGGAGACGCTGCTCGACGTGCTCGTCTGCCTGTACACCGAGTGTAGTCACTCGGCCCTGCGCCGCGACAAGTATGTGGCCGAGTTCCTCGAGTGGGGTAAGTGTGCGCGGGCCTGACCCTCGGCTCTGCGACCCCCGCCCGGTTGCGCCCTCCCCCCACTCCGCCCGCCTCCTCCCTGTCCTCGGGCTTCCGCTCATCCCGCCTCGTCACCGCTCCCAGACCCGCCGCCCCATCCCTGTCCGGCCGCTCCTGGCGCCCTCACCGCTTCGCGGCTCTCCATCCAGCCCTGCCCTCCTCTTTGGCCTTCTCACATCCGCGTTCGGCCGACCCGCCCCCTCATCCTGCCCCTCGGAGCCACATCCTCCGTTCCCACCCCCACCCCCGCGCCCGGCCATCGCCCCGGCTGCTTCCTAGATCCACCCTCCGAGTCTGGATATCGTTTCCTGCAGCACTCCCTGGGATATCCGCCCCTCGCCCTTGGGGTCCGGAGTCCGCGTCGAGTTGCTCCCCCCGCTCGCCCTGCTGACTTGTAGGGGCAGCGGCGTGTGCTTTTTGCGTCTGCTGCCCGCACTCCCGTGCGTCTCCTGGGAGCCCCTCCTAAGTGACAGCCTGTCTGCATCCCTAGGTGTCCGGGGCCTGAACATCCCTTTTACTTACCACCTCTAAGGGAATTTTAAGGTTAAAAGCCTTGTTTTGAATACGCCATGCGAGAGCAAATTGATTTTTTTCATTGTAGTTTTGCCAGACCCTTGTAATATTGGGGGGGCAGCTGGAACTGTTAGTACATGGAAGTCGCTTAAGAACTTTTTTCGTCTGATCTTTGCGTGCCTTAATCATTGGTTAACTAAGCTATTATGCTTTATTAGGACAAAAATTTGATTAAGCTACTTAATGGTTAGAATCTCAAGAACAGCTACACGTGTAAAGTGAAATCTTCTTACATTCTCTCTCTCTAACTTGGATATTTTGTCAAGACCCTCAGCCTCATATAAAAATATCGAGAAGGAAGATGCAATGTTTCTGTTCAGGGTTCGGGCCAAATCTATGAAAATCTTATCCTTGGGTCATGTGCGTCATTGGACTAGGATTGTGCAGTTTGACCCAGTAATTTCTAACCTTTGGGGCTGATAAAGCTGATATTGACATGAAGAAACAAACGAATGTATTCCATAGTGAGGCCACCTCCTCTGCCAAAATGGTAATTAGAATTTGGAATTTTGTTTACAAAATAAAACTTAAGTTTCGATATTCTTTAGAGAGCTTCTGTTTTTCACTCTTTAGTGGAATTTTGATGTCTTGGAGAGCAGCAGTAGAAGGAGGCCCACAGCCCCAGGACAGCCTGTTATGCTTTATTTTGGTGGGGTCCACCTTTCTTGATTATATACGATATCAGTAAAATAAGAGTACTATTCATTTTCTGGGATCATTTATCAGTGACATGATTTCCACCTGAATGATTTAACTGACTTCACAGTTGCTTTGAAAGTGAAGTCTTTGGTGCCTGTTGCATCCCAGCCTTCTGAGTATCCTCTTTGCTGTTCTTGCTGAGCGTTTGATCTTGAAATCCATTTTCAAGATCAGGTTCAACTCAGTGCTTGGTATGTGAGTAAATGTGTGACTGCAAAGAGGAGGCAGAGGGAAGGAAGGTTGAGTTAGCAGGTAAGGTGTGGTCCAGCTAGCCTCTGGCCTGGGGACCTGCAGTGCCTCGGAGGGGCTTCTCCTGAAGGCTGGGTGCCCTGTGGAGCAGTGGTCCTGCCTTGTGCAGCCCCCTCACCACCAGACGGTACCTGCCACTCTGTGAACTGCTGGGCTTCACTGGAGGAAGCTCTTCTCTGCATGTGTGGAGGTCTTATGAGATTTGGGTTTTCCAAGTCTAAGCAGAAGCTGTGTGCTGTAATATAGAAGTATTTTGAAAATCGTGTGCTAGCTCTTTGGAAATTATGATTACAAATAAATTACATTATTCTAAAGCACTCAGTCTGCACAGAACTTTAAATTACAGAGAAGAATGTACTCTAAGGAGGCATGTTCATGGAATAGTAATATATTTTCGAAGCAGTATTTCATCTCATGTGTGTTAACATACGCACCGATGTAACGCCACAGTGTGTATTACTAGTTAGGATGTGTGTGCAGTCGTTATTTAGTGTTACTTGGAATGCCCAGTCATTGTGTTTGGAAAGCAAAGAATGGTCTTTCAAGTGGAATTGTTTGCGGAGCATTATTAGGTGCCTTGACTTCCAAGTGGAATTACTTCTGCTCTGCTCAAGAAACACATACATAGGCTGTCAACCTGCGGATTGTTGAGTTTTTGGATTTACACTCTGCCTGATGTTTGAGACCTCTGATGTGTTGAGTCCTCTCATGCAGAGGGGCCAACCTTGCTAGGTGTCTGTTAACAGTTATGTAGAATTCTTGAAACTTAATGAAGAAAAATAGCCGATTCAGCCCAGATTTGAGACTTACTGGGGAATCTTTGAGGAAATTTGGAAAGTATAAGTATTAAAGATTTTAAGTTTTAGGGGCTTCCCTGGTGGCGCAGTGGTTGAGAATCTGCCTGCTAATGCAGGGGACACGGGTTCGAGCCCTGGTCTGGGAGGATCCCACATGCCGCGGAGCAACTGGGCCCGTGAGCCACAACTACTGAGCCTGCGCGTCTGGAGCCTGTGCTCTGCAGCGGGAGAGGCCCCAACAGTGAGAGGCCCGCGTACAGTGATGAAGAGTGGCCCCCGCTTGCCGTGACTGGAGAGGGCCCTCGCACAGAAATGAAGACCCAACACAGCCCAAAATAAATAAAGTAATTAATTAATTAAAAAAAAAATTTCCTCATTCTGACTTCTTCCAACTCTGCTTTAAAAAAAAAAAAAAAGATTTTAAGTTTTAAAAGAAGATTTTCTTATTTCCACAGTGGTTGCTTGAGACAAGACTCATCCTAGGCTTCACTGTAGATTTTGCCTTTAATTTTCCCTTGATTGTGTTTATAGTTTGATTAGTTTTCTCTATGAAATCCAGGACCTTAATTAAAAGTTGGAAATGCCCTGCTTTGCATGTGTATTTCTTTAAGCTGGTTTTTAAATGCAAATTTGATACCGTTTGAAGCAGAGCATATGAAACATTTTGAAATTTCTACAAGTAGACAGCAACAAATATGGACAACTAAATGAGGTGAAATTGTTGTCTTTCATCTTCGTTGTATAAAAATACTTTTACATGTCTTAAAATTTTTTTTTCATGACGTAAAAATAATGGCTGGTGTTATATTTGGACAGAGCTGATGTTTGAAGTCCCAGCCCATTGGCATTGGGTGGACCACAGTGGCCCTCTGCTCTGACCCCCACGTGGCCTGCAGAGCAGAGGTGGGAGGCCTGGAGCTCGCTGCTGGCGGCAGACGTGAGCATGGGTTTCCCGTTTCCCAGTCCAGGGCATCTTCTCTCATCGTGCCACCATGCTTCCTCTGTAAGGGCTAGAATTAATCTTTGTAGCCCTCTGTTTAATTTCCTCATTGGTGATTTTTCTTATTATGAAGGAAGCGGTACCTTCTCAGAGTTCTCCTTCATCTGTGTGAATTCCTGTAGCTCTTGGTCTGGGGATGCTCAGCCCTAGGTGTGAGTGGGATGACTCTACCAAGTTTAATACGTTCAGGCTTAGCTGATGGTGCTGAACATCTCAAGATACATTTTAATCTAACGGTTTCTCCAGATAGAATTTTTGCATAACATAGGAACACGTTTTTTAAGTAACAGATATAAGAAACAGATCTTTTGAATAATAAGATGTAACTTGTAGGGGAATACTGGAATTGGGTAATAAAATTTAGGTTAACATAATTTGGATTTGTAAATAGGTATTTGAAATGCATGGTGATATTGACTACATGGCAAGTGATGGAACGGCTGAAACCATTAAACATTAACCGGCCAGCCTTACTTTTTCTCTCTTAAAACCTCCTCCATTGACAGTTGGGCTTTGAGGTAAACAGCAGCGTCTGTGTTAAATGTAGACTTGCAATAAGTAAAACTGGAGTTGGAGTGAGTTGTTCTCACTTCAAGATACCACTGTGTGAGCTACCTGAAAACGCTTCTGCTGTGTGGTGAATTGCTCTTCAATTGCAAATGCACGTTAAGGTAAAAACTCAGAATGCGCCGGTGGCAGTGTTGACAGGAACGCCCCTTGCCTTTGCCCTGCTTCTTGTTGCAGCACCTGACGCCCTTGGAAATCTTGTCCCGTCTGTGCTGACGTCTGTGATGCTGGATAAACATGCGAGCAAACAGGACTGTTAATTTCAAACTATATTAAGTACAGCAAAGCTATTGAATGCTTTTCTTGGTAAAGAGGCAAAATGTATTTTTGAGACTAATAAGGTGAAAGGATCATGCTACAAGAGACCACATATAGATTTTTTTACCCTTTTTTAAAAATCATAAGTGGTAAAATGGGGCTTCCCTGGTGACGCAGTGGTTAAGAATCTGCCCGCCAATGCAAAGGACACGGGTTCGAGCCCTGGCCTGGGAAGATCCTACATGCCGTGGAGGAATATGGTAATTTTTGAAGGCTTTATTTAGACTTAAAATCTACCAAAGAACAATTAAACAATTAGTATCTATTTTATCTTATTTTTATATTTTATTCATTTAAAATAAAACAGATACTATCTACGAGATGAAGGTCACACTTTATAATATGTTTTTAAATAATCTGTGTTTCATATTAGATTTTTGCCAGTAGGTAAGTGGCAGCAAAATTGTTTTCAGATTAAAACTTTGCAAAAAGGATCAATTATATAATAGGAGACTTGAAAAAAAATTTTTTTTAATATTTAATTTAATTTATTTATTTTGGCCGTGCTGGGTCCTAGTTGTGGCACGTGGGATCTAGTTCCCAGACCAGGGATCGAACCTGGGACCCCTGCGTTGGGAGCGTGGAGCCGTACCCACTGGACCACCAGGGAATTCCCCTATAATAGGAGGCTTTGGATTTTTGTTGTCTTTAGGAAAGAATTAGAAATTTGAAGAGAAATTTGAATTGAATTATATAATTTCTGTTCTTGTATTGGAGCTTCTTTGGAGACGTAAGGAATTTACTCTTTAGGAGGGAGT